ACTACTCTTGGATTGTTAGATTGTTGAAAATAAATGTTACCTTTTTTACTTTTGCTATATATAGTAAAAACAAAATTTAATTTTTATTGTTTAAATATTTTAATAACATAAATGTGGCTGCTAGTACTGGAGAGACTGAAGCTAGAAAATTACTGTTTTAATTTTAAACACCAGCAGCAATTTTTTTTTTAGTATTTAAATATATTTTATCTTAACTTGATGCCTTTTTCTTCATGCATGCAACTACTTGAATCAAGTTTCATTTTTACTTTATCTCTTACAGATTTTGAATTTAGTAATCTAATCCTTTAATTTAAATTCATATTTCAGTTTATAAATATATACTAGCAGTATAACCCGTCTTTGACCAGGTCTTTCATTACTGGGAATTTTTGCTATTCAGTTGGAGCAGTTTAAGTTTAAAGTCAGCCCACCCGAAAATCAATATTAGTAGCCACATTTGGGTGCAACTGAGGCACATACCTAGGGGGGGGCAATGGGGGGCGCTGAAAAGGGAACTGTATAATAATAATATTGTAATAATTTAAACTATTTATTTTTATTAAAGTTTTTATGAAAGATATATATCCAAGACTAGATAGTAAATAGTAAAACGTTGCTGAGAGTTATAATGGGCAGGAAGTAGTGGAGAGCCAGTGTCGCCAAGAATTTGGACTCAAAACCGGCACTGAAGTGTTATCTATCAAACAAAAAAATTTCATCAAAATTGGATGAAAACTGTGGAAATGCATAAACAACATCTGATCACACACACACACATTTTGAGAATTATAGATTTCAGTAGCTTGTAATAATCTTTCTGTAATTTTTCTGTGAAAATGCTGTAAGTCTTTGAAAGAAAGTTTGACTTATTTTTTTCTCAAGCAAATGAAAAAAATTATTAGGTCCTGCAGATTGTTTCACTTATTCTCTGGACATGCTAAAATTAATTTTATACATTGGAAATAAATTTGTTCATAATAAGAAGTTGCTTTCTTTTAATAATAAAATGTCTTTTCTCTCTTTTTCTTTATTTAAAAATTGTTACAAAATTCTTAGCATTTACACAATTTTAAATTTTACATGAAAGGACATAGAACATATTACAATTATTCAAATTTTGTTCACACAAAGCCAATCTTTAAAATATTCTTGTTAATGTATGAAATTATATTATGTCTGCATATATAGAAAATATAAAAATGCTCTTAGAATGGATGGAGACTGCATGCATATTATTTATTTTTTTAATCAGTATCATCTCATGAAAGGCAGTAAAGCCACTAAGATACAAGTTACATAGAGGGTGTGGAAGAATTAGGAACAGAAACATTAATAATGAGCAGGAAAAAGAAAGAATAATCAGGTGGACAGTAGATAGTGATTGACATTAAATTAAAATTTTTGCAGATTACAGTTGGCTGGAAAGCATGGAATCAGAAAGTAGTTCCACAAGTGAAGTGTGAGAAAAGAAACTGTTAGCATAGAACTTATGGTTACATCTATCCAGCTCACCTTTAAATCGATGAGATCTTGATTGCCAGTCTAGTACTGCAGTAAAATTAAAAAAGTCTAGGTACCATAGTGAAGAGCTCATTCAAACAATTATTGTGAAAGTATTTATAGAAAAGAGGCAACCTTACTGTGGTGGGAAAGTGGCTGAAGCCGGGCCGCCAGATCAGGACCAATAATATTCTGGTATCTGGTATTCTTACACCAATGAGAACCAATAAACCCTGTTAATATTATGAGGTATTACTGGAGTGATAATGATGTTTTAGCTATTACCTAATGCTCTTCCATTCAATACAGTATAATTAAATGTCTTTTTTAGAAATATAAAAATGATACTTCTGTTAACATTAGTTTATTCTAAGATGTTTTATTGTCTGGCTGCTTATTTCATTACTAGTTTACTTAGTATTGTCACAGAATGATGGCAATATTTAAGTAATTTTGTAATTGTACTGGTTATACATTCTGCATGAGTAATTTAGGATTTTTTATATATGTACAATTAACTCTATTTTGACATGTAAGAAAGAATTTTTTTTAAAGAAAACTAACACAAAACAAAAGAAATAAAACAAGAAAAAAATCAATGTATTAACAGCATGATCTCCCCTAAAATATTAAAATATTTCATTATTATAGTAATATGAGGCATGTTTACATTTTGGCATTGTGTGATACCTTATCACAACAAGGGAATGAAAAATTCATTACAAATGTTGGATGTCATACTTAAGTTTTTAAAATCTGTTATTGGAAGTCCTTTATCAACATTTTGTTTAGAGAAGTTATATTGCTTTGTTCCTTCATAAATTTTTTTAGAATTAATGCTCATTACTGTCGCTTAAAAATGACAATAATTTTAATTATCTATTTAGAATTATATGATGTTATTGAATATTTTGAAATGGATATTTTATATGCCTATGATGGTGTTAAATGCCATTCACTGAAAAACTGTCTTGTATCAGATTTTGAAAAGTTAATGGGTTCTTTTGGTCCTTGTTTTCAGCCAATAATAGCTTTTGCTGAAAGGTTTGCATCTTGCCCTAGGTGGGGTGGGAGATGGATGAATATGAAACAGGTGAAGAGAACTGGATATGATTATGCTGTTATTAAGTTGTGGCTATAAGATAAGGCTTCTTTATGTTGTACTATAAAAGAATAATATCTATGATTCCTGATTTGTGAGATAAACCTCTTAAATTACTCCTATTATTTGCATCTATATTAAAAACAGAAGTGGTTTGGTTTAAAGGGGAAGAAAACAGTTATACATAAAATGTAGTTTTAACATCAATACATTTGCAAGTTTACCAAAGATAATCAAAATATTGTCTTATTTGTTATTGTTTGATATTTATCTTAAATAATACTGTATAAAGTAATATTTTTTTACTAAGCAGCTAATATTGGAGAAGTAGGAAATATTCATTCTTTTTTCCAATATACAATATTTATTAAATATTTTTTATTTTTACTTTAATTATATAAGAATGGATATGCCAAAACAATCTCTATAAATAGACAACTGAAGTTTTTAGCATTTTATTGAGAAGTAGGCTTAGAATTTAAAGCTTGATTTGCTTGTTTTGACAGGAAACCAGTCAGTGTTTAACAATCACTATATGACTATACTTTTAGAGTAAGATACCACAAAACATGTTCACCATTTGTTTCAGGAGTGATAGAGAAGAACAAAGCAGACCATCTGGAACAAAAGAAACCCATTTTTATTTAATTATGTATGGATTTGGAGATGACATAAGTAAATTTCTTTTCTTCTTCCACCCTCATTCCACAAAAAAAACTTACAGACTGACATTAGAAGTCTCAGATTGATCTTTAATATTGGCACAAAATATGTTGATCTCTCAGCGCTTATCAATTCTGCTTTTATTTGTTGTTTTCATAGTTCTTTTCGTGTATAGTACTGATGGAATCAATCTGAACCAGACAAATATTACATTAGCATTTTCTAAAAAAAAAAAAATTACCTCTGTGACCTTGTGTCAACCCTACGATCATGGGCAAGGTAGGGTTGGTGATTTAGGTAAACAGCTTCAGAAAAAATTACCGGTTTTGTCCTTGAAATATCCAGTTTTAAAAACAAAATCCTTTCCAATTTGAAATCTTTTAACAATGCTATTTCTGCTACTCATCTCACTCTTCCTTCCTGGCCTACTATTATTTTTCTTTCTCTTCCTTTGTCATGTCAAAAAACAGTTTTGTGTTTTGTTTTTCTTCTCCTTTCTTGCCGCCTTGTTCTGCTCATCAATTTTCACCCCCAACTCTTCCAGCGTTCATAATGCAATTTCATCGGCTCATAATTTTCCTTCTATCTCTCTTTCTCCAAAACTGATACAATGAAAAATGCCTGAAATATTGATCCCTTCCTTTAACAATATATTGACCATTACATAGTTTAAGTTTTTATCTTTTTACTTTTTTTCATTTTTTATAACTTTTTTCTTTTTACAAATAAAATAAAAACTTTTCAACTGAAGTAATAAATTTAAAATCAAATTTTATTTTAGTTTTATAGACAACATGTTACAAATTTTACCAGTCGGTTTCAAGTACACGTCCTTTTATTTTTCTTTTGGTCATTGCTCGTCTGATGAAAGTAGTTTGCACAAAGAAGAGTAACACTCCAGGCTGGTAGAGGTGCGCTTCTTCGCCAACGTCGCCCTCTCTGTTTTTATTCGACTCTAACTCACACTGAAAGAAAGCAAAAAAAAAAAAAAAGAAAGAAAAAAAATAGAAAAAGAAGGCATGGTTGCTTTTCTTTCCAGTGTGGTCGTTTAGTCAGCCATCGTGTTTTAAATGCATGTAAGGAAGCCAAGTTTTTTTTCTTCACTCTCTTCCCAGCCTGAAAAGTGCCCTCAACGAAGGCAGCAGCTCCCCACTCATCCTTCTTCTTGCCTTGCTTAGCCCACTCCTTCTTTCATTTCATGTTGTCTGCTATTAGACTAAGTCAAAAACCATCTAGTTACCACTACAGCTGTGGTGATGACGAAAACCAAGAAGGTGGAGACCTAGAGAGATTTGCTGTTCCAGTTGTTATTGGCAAACAGCTTTTCTTTCTTGCCAAAACTTTCTTCTTTTTTGGCACACACTTTTAAAACTAACGTGTTTTGGCTTTGGTCGTTATCCTTGTCAACGTTACCATGGAACCATTCGACCAACAAACCTTTTTATTTATTTTCAACATTCTTTCCCGAGGGAATTATTAGCAGATCTACTTAAGGCGACTTCTGATTTCTGTTGTTTATCAAACGGCTTCCAACCGCCCATCGCAAGAAAAAAAAATCATCACTACAACCTTGGCAATAATAATGAATTATAATGATCATCAAAGTTCGATAATGACAGACTGTCAGACTAAAGCATTTTTTTAATTTTTTTTGGTATAAAATTATTTTATCTCTTTTGAATTTGAATCCGTCTATTTACCTGCAGTGTTACGTTTTTTAGTAGTAGACAACATGGTGCTAATTACGCAAAACAAACCGGCAACGAGCAAACCAAAGCAGGTTCGAATGGTCTTACCTGTGATCATTCCGGATTCTTCACCTTCGCCCCCTCCCTTACCTGGATGTAATAGCCACCCGGACTCATGCACTGATTGTAAATGCCAGACTGTCTATATTCAATGTGAAGGCAAGTTTTAATCCTTTTTCTTTATTTTTTTAATTACTGAGTTCAAAGTTCAGATTCTTTGTACTTCCTTCAGTCCATTATTACAAAAACATAAATTAAAAAAAAAAAATGAAAATAATAAAGATTAATCAAGCTATTTTGCTTATTTTTTATAAACATTTTCTTAACAGTAACACCCATAAAAACACTTACTTGCTCACTGTAGTGTAGTAGCAAGTGACTTACAGTAGTACACAAATAACCATCAAGCAAGCATAATGAATAATTTAGAGAAGTACATAGCATTTTTATTTTTCCGTATCCCAAATTTCCTGCTTTCATTTGTCTACAATTACTACATTTATCAACATGTTAAATTATAAATGACTTAATGAATGTTGTTTTCTGTGTGTATGGCAAGAAAATGAAATCCCACAACAATGTTTCTATTCGGCCCCTTCATACAAGAAGACCTTAATTCCAGCGCTTTTTTGTTTTAAAAGAATATCTAAGTTTGTGTCTTCTTTCAGTTTTAAACTTAATCTCGAAGTTTGAAACTTTCTCATACGAGTCGTCAGAAAATAATGAACCAAAGCGCAAAGAAAAAAACTTTTCTTTTTTGTGGTCAAGATCTTCCTTATTAAAAATAAGAAAACTAATTAAAATTTGAGGTAACTTTTTAAAAACTAAGTTTGCTAAAATTAAAAATTTGTTTTCCTTTTTTTTTTTTCATTTCATAATCGGGGAATTCGTGGTTAGAAAATTTTAGTTACACGGAAATTACTGTTTTCTTTTTCTTTCAGTTTTTTCGTTTCTGAGATCTTGTACATCTGGTACAAGGCAATTTACCCCCAAAAAAAAAATTCCTTTCTAAAAAAAAAAAAAAAATAACAAAGAAAATGAAAATGGCGGTTTATTAAAGATGACCCCCCCACCCCAATTTGTTTCTCCATTAACGTGTGTTCCATTAAAATATTTTAATGGATGAAATACGAAACATCATTATTATCCTGATCGACGAAGGAGGTGAGAAGTGTTTTGCTGTCTCCGATTTTCATCTTATCAATTAGGTCTTTTATTGTCTGGTTAAAATACTGGAAAAAGGCTGATGAGATTTTCATGCGGATACATTTTTAGCTGAAAGTCTCATGAACAGTTAATAATGAAAAACTTTTTCAAAATTTCTGTGCGCAAAATCAAAAACTATATTTGGAAAAGAAATTTTATGTACAATCACAAATTTCATCAGTGTGTGACTAACCGCTTTTTTTTACTTTTTGTGTTTTCAACTTCAACTCCTTTTTTTCTCTTGGATTCTCCTTGTCTGATTTTTCGTTCTCAGTTCCTTGATGTTGTTGTTTAGTCATGTGCCATGTCTGAGTTCCCTTGTTTACTACTACTACTACTACGCCTTCTTACACACGCACTGTCTCCTCTGAGTCGAAGAGAAGTACTTTCCCCGCTGCCTTTTGTCTCAGACGTATTGTTATGATATGTCTTCGCCTTCTTCACTGTCTCAAACTGAACCTCTCGCAGACACTGACCTCGTCTTTTAGTTTTATTATTCAGACATTTTTTTCAACATATCACCAGCACCTTTTCTTTTAAAAACGTTTTTTCTTAATCTCTCCTTAACAAAAAGCGATCTTTAATTTAAAGTTGTTTTTTTATTTTTATAAAGGTATTTAAAAAGTTAACTTTTTATATTAACCGGTTATTGTGTGTTGATGAACCTCAAAAAGTCGAAATACTAGTATTTTTTGTTGTAATTTTGACTTTTAAAATTACAAGTGATCACGTAGGAAACATTTTTAATTCTCTTTGTTTTATTTATCAAAAGGTAACTATTTTTAGGTGTGTAAAAGCTGAAATTTTAAAATTGACCTTTCTTTAGTCTTGCTAATCATCAATTCCAAAAGCATAAATTACAGGTGTTGTGTGTAATTAAATCCTTTGTAATGAAAGATAGGTAATTTATACTTCATAAGGTAGAGTAAAAAAAATAAACAGCTATTACAAATACAGTATGACCCGGATATAAGAGAGATTTTCTCTGGTCCCAAATTAGAGCCTGTGTTACTGTTCAGAGACCAAACCCGGATATAAGAGACTTCTTCTCCGGTCCCGACAACTCTCTTATATCCGGGTTACACTGTAATTAAATTATAATATAGGAAAAGAAAGATAAAACTGACTTGTGGCATTTTTCAAATTTATTTTTGTTAGTCTTCAGTCTTCACTCTTCATTCATTTTTATATTTTTATACGGTTTTGCTTTTGGTTAGCAATGGATTTTAAAAATGCATTTGTTAATTAATTCTAAGATAAAAAGAATTAAATGGCCATATTTTTGAGCAAAGCAAAATTGAATACCAGTATTTCCTTGTTAAGACATTATAAAAAAAAAAAAGTCAAGCAAAAAAAAAAGTTTTTAAAAAAAAAATCAATACTTAGCAGCTAAGTATTGATTTTTTTAAAATAACTTTTTTTTGCTTGACTATTTTTTTTTTATAAATGTACAAAGCATAAAAAAGGCCAAGTAGATTTTATTTAACTAGGCAGTTACACAATTCTTGAGTTGATTTTCATACTTGTACAGTATTTTGTTGACGTTTTTTTTTTTTTTTTTTTTTACCATGCCCGGAAAACTGAACTAAATTATACAGATAATAAACACAAAATAAAGAAGTTAATAGAGGAACAATAATGTTTTAAAAAATATCAATGGTTAAGAAATTGTCTAACAGTTTTAAAAATAAAACTTTTTAATATGTTCCAGATTTTTAATTCTTGGAAAGTGACTACAGTACACGTTTTTGTAGTGAACTTGAAAATTATTATTATTCATAAGCTTGATTCTGTTTCACATATACAATTTCTGGAGCAAACATTTTAAAAGCAAAAATAATGCTCTTTTCTTTTTATTCATTATATTTATAATAATTATTATTGAGCATGTTCAATTGAACATGTAAATAAAGAATTGATAGTAATTTATAACGAATGAAGTCATTTTTAATTTCATTCTCAGGTTTATGACAAAAAAACAAATGAGGTAAAATGAATCAGTTTGTTAAAGTTATTCAAATTTTTTAACAGAAACATAATTTAATATTTCATAATGATTTAAAATCCAACAATTACCGTATTTCTTATTTCTTTTTTTTTGGCTGTGTGTTGTGTAGGAGGAGGAGTTGAAAGCTTATGAAAGTAAAATATAGCTCCACTCCTAAATACTGCTAGTAGAAGATAATTATTTTGATAAAGAATTTCATAATATTTAGAATTTAAAATAATTTTTAAGAAAAATTACATCTGTGGTACAGCAGTGTGTGTTTAATCATTTCTCCAGTTTTTCTGTCCCTACACAAACTACTCAAAAGTTTATACACACACACACACACACGTTAAGGTATATTTATGGCTCAATATCAAAGATGGAGCATAAGTGGACACTGAAATCAACACCTACCAAGTGGCAACAGTGTTCAACTCTGATGAAACGGACTTGCCACTCTCATTTATTAACCTCAGTGTTCACTTTTATAGTTATATTCCCAGCACCCCTAGTCCAATGAAGTCCTGAAACATGTCACAAGTAAACTTTTTCCATTTTGTCATACAATTTCCCAAATACTGTTCTTGATATATAAAAATATATATCGTTATCTCACTTATATATAATCTTCTTTTTAGACAAAATCATTGATGCATTTTTATATTCTTGGACATAAAATTATAAAAAATATTAATATTTTTCCTTTTCCTCTAATAAAGGAGGCTATTTAAATAACTAAATATAAATCAGGTTATCTAAAAGTCCTAAAATGAGCATTAGATTTTTTTTATATAGCTCACTAATTATGGCTATTTACAAAAGGGATGCTGAAAAGTTCTCTTTCTGATCTTAAAATATGGCCAAATAGATTTTTAAAAACTCTTCAATTGAGCTGAGAACTTTTTAGTAGTCCCTTATATATCACACTTTAAATTTCTCTTCCAATGTAGATTCCAAATTTAGTTCTTGCCATTGATTTTGTTTGCAAAATTTGCCAAAATTCTGTTCTCCCTAAAGAAAGTGGAAACATTTATATTTAGAGTGAAAATAATAAAAATAAACAACTATAATATTTGGTGCCAGCTTTTCCTTTCTAATACAAAATTGTTAGCATAGATACTTGATGTTGCCTGTGGTTAAAACAAAACATATTATATTCAAAACAAAATGAATGATACAGTCCCTTAGTTTGATATGTCTTCTGAGTACTAGCACTTCTCCCATTGGATGCCAATATGAAAATGTTGTTTGGAGATCCAACTCAAGAACAATCAATATAAAGCTGGCATTGGAAAAAGCATGGAGAAGTCAAGTTGAGGCTAGCATTGTCCTTGTGCCTTGATCATGCTAAAGCTGAGTCTCATTAGGAATTAAACATGCTTTAATTCAAAAAGCAAGTCTATTGAAATTATAAGTATCCTGGGAATGAACATGTCCTCCTTTTTACCTACCCCAGTTTGGATAATTTCTTCAATGGAAGGGAAGCTACTTGACAGCCAGATCAGTTTCATTATGCAACTCTGGTGGGTCAAGATTTTCTGAGCAGCATATATTAATATGTGACAAGGCACACTGGGCAGTTGAAGAGAGTTGTGGAGCTTATATGGGTTCTGAACTGTCTTTGTAACTGTTAATGTGTAAGTTGAACCACTCCAAGAATCTATCAAAAAAGCTTTGAAGTTAATTTTTTGAATACCTTAAGCTTTGGAGCAAGAATGTATTGCTCACAGAGCCACTGGTAGATTTTGTCATTTTGGGTTATTTTTTAAATTTAAAATGGCTGAAAAAAATCAATTTTAATTTTAAAATGTTTTGGAGTTTTTGCCTGAAAATGCACTATGTTTTTACAAATGAAACAAAAATATTTATTTTCTTTTTTATATATCTTTACGTTCTTTGGCTGAGAAATCTATTTTAATCTGAAATTGACTTCTGGTGACACATTCCACTTATACCCTATTAT